TTGGTGACGAGTTTCAAATCAGCCAATGAGAGCACGATTTTATATCCGGGACTTGAATTTGCCCCCCATTAGCTGCGTTCCCAATTTTTAAACTCGATGCCTCCTCTAGTGTTATTTATAATCTCTATGGTTGCATCCCCATTAACGAAAGCTTATTCATAGAGGAGAGAGCCTGGGAACAAGGTTGAACTATTTTCACCAATATCAGACTCCTTCGAACGAAAAGCGTGACATCAGTTTTCATGTGCCGATAATTACGCATCGTGCTGTGCGGACTGTGGAGTTTATACACATGAATACAGTCTAGACATTCACACACGCATACAAATTCACCTGCTATCATAAACCTGGCAAACACTTGATTCTGTTCTGTGATACAAATCTCTCATTGATATCAGAGAGAATGAGAGAATACATCATTACTTTTTCTGCTGGTATTGGTGGAAGTTGATAGATTTTCTTTGCATTGTTTGCTTTATCAGATTTACGTTCACTCTTAAAAAAAACAACCAGAACGGTAAGATTAGCCACATAAGGTCTGGTGACATTGCGAGAGAATATAGTGTGATTGGTGTGCAAAGCAAATGATGAATCTTTCACTCGTATATAGTCAAATCTAAAGTTTTTAATTTCAACTATAAAAGGACACAAATGACAACATATGTTGTACATCATCAGGAACACTTACATCTTCATTATCTTCAGATAAATCAGCCATAAAATTCTGATCATCTTTTGGTTTATTTTTTGACCCCTTTGGCCTTCCTCTTTTTCTCTTTACTGGACCTGTCTGTGACTAAAGTTATATTAGAATTATAAGTTAATCCATTACAATCCTATACTACTCTATCTAATTAAATGAATAAAATATGTATAGTTATAATAATTGAATCAACCTACTTCAACGCTATCTGATCTATCATATCCAGCTTTCCCATCAAGAAAAACATCCTCATCATCATCACCATAATCGTCTTCACCGATCAACTTCATTCTCTTGGAAATCGTCTTAAGCTGTGCATCACCATTGCCGACCGATATCCGAGTGTAATCATCTCGGTATTCATAATCTGGGATTTCTCGTTTGGGTCTTTCTGGCCTCAGTCTTGTCACTGATACTGATATGTTACTTCTCTTTGCTACAACCAGAAATTTATACTTGTCTGTACAGATAGGTTAGCTAATTTCTTGATTACAGGTGCAAGTTCTACATAAGGGCTGTGAGTGGACAGGGCATAGTTTCCAGCACCCACCCAGGGCTGGGATCTGAATTTTTCCTTTTTTTTTTGGGGGTGTGACATTTAGGGCCTTAAAAAAGCCTTTTCCTGTTAATATTGTGATACTTATTAAACATTTTCTGATGTTTTTAACCCTCTACGTGGCAATGCACCCTGATGAGCCCTACTTTATTATTTTACTCTGTCTAACGCCAGACGATTTTACTCGTCAAGGGGAGAGTGCTGCCACTCAATGGGTTAAGAACTGTGAAGGTTATAGTGTTGTGTACAAATGTTTGAGACATGCATCTCAAACCCCTAGATTTATAGCTGGAAAATTAAAGTAATGCATTGGACAGTGGTTAAAACCAAAACATCTGACAATATCTCTAGTTAACCCATTGAGCCAGAATGAGCCCTAGTGCGCACTACTTATTTTTTTCTACTTGTCTAATGCCAGATGATTTTACTTGTCAATGGGGAAGCTCTGCAGCTTGATGGGTTAACCTAGAAATTGTTTCAAATTGTTAAATATATACAAACAATAATAAATACAACATACCATCTGAATCTTTAGATGTTGAACATTTCTTGGCAATAAATATATGGCCACACGGGCATGACTTGCAGGCAACAGGAAGCTAAAAAGATCAAATTATTGATAACATTAATTAAATTTTATAAATTTCATTTTAATATATATCAAATCGACTAAATTTTCAATCGCATTATAGTAATTTCTATAAGCTAGTGTGCCAATTCCCAATTATGGAATTAAAATGGCATAAAAATACAATTTAAAACCTACAAAAACGAAAATGTTTATATTTTATAAACAACATACTTTTTACAGTAAAATTTTTGCATTATTAAATATATTCATGAATATACGTACGGAATACAAATGAATTTTTTCAATAAAATACACTTTAATGCGAGTCAAATATTATTTATTAAAAACACAAGTATTTACTTACAGTTTGTTGGCATTTGGGGCATCTTTTCTTCGCCATTTCAGAAAATTTAAATGCCAAGATAAACAGCTACATAATATAAACAGTTCTGAACGAACCAAAACATGTGTAAAGGATTGTGACTTTTGATGTATGATATATTGATACATATATGCAAACGATGCAAACCGACACCTTTCCGACCTCAATCCGAACCACAATCAACAATAAATAAGTGATGTCCGGCCAAAAACCAACGCGAAGACTACAAAATTTTACCTTTTTGTTTAGAAACCTAGTTTAAAGAATCTATCATGCAAAATAAAAAAAAAGTAAAAGTTAATTTAAAATTCTATCGAAGGTCACTGAACCCACTCAGAAAAATCGTGTTTCCGACTTTTCAGCGATGGAGAATAGCACAAATACGCTAGCGGATATTTGCAAGATGGCGGATGCCAGGACTAGAGAAATGAAACGAATTTTAGTCGTTGGTTTAGCGTGTTTAGATATAATCAATACAGTTGACCGTTATCCCCGAGAAGACGAGGACACAAGGGCGTTGTCACAGCGTTGGCAAAAAGGCGGAAATGCTGCAAATACGGCTGTAGTATTAACCCAAACATTAGACACAAGTTGTGAACTTTTATGTTCTCTCAATACAGGAATCGAAGGGCAATATGTGAAAGAAGACTTACAAAAGCGAGGGGTTTTAATAGAAAATTGTCCGGTTAATAAGAACTGCGGTTTTCCGACTTCGTGTGTGTTAATAAATTCAGTGTGTGGCTCACGAACTATAATTCATGCCCGCAATAACTTACCCGAATTAGAATTAACTGATTTTGACAAACTCGATTTAAGTTTATATTCTTGGATTCATTTTGAGGGAAGGAGAAATGTTGATGAAATTATCAAGATGATAAAGAAAGTCAGGGATTTTGGTAGAGAACAAAAATTACAAATTAAAATATCAGTTGAATTTGAGAAAAAACGGCCCGAATTTGAACCGCTTTTCAAAGTAGAAGCAGATGTAATATTCATTGGAAAAGACTTCGCGCAGTTTTCTGGCTTCACCACGCCCGAAGAAACAGTGAACGGGCTTTCGACTCAAGTACACTCTACCTCAGTCCTTATTTGCCCATGGGGAGAGCGAGGGGCAGTTGCCAGGGGGTGTGACAAGGAGATCTGTTCATCACCCGCCTACCCACCCGAGAGAGTCGTCGATACACTAGGAGCCGGGGATACGTTTATTGCTGGTGTTATATTTTGTTTAAATCGAGGGAGGTTGATCAAAGATGCTATTCAGTTTGGTTGTCAATTGGCTGGAAAGAAATGTGGTATACAGGGATTTGATGGACTGAAAGTGACTCAAAGTGACTCTGACATAAGGAGCTGAGGCTTTAGCAAACAATCACGACGAGACAACGACCATGATAACAGTTAGAGTAGTCAGTAGCTATATATATAA